TAATTGACAACAATTATGAACGCTTATATTAACACAGACATAGAGATCATACATTTGTACTCCAGATAAATCATCTATGGGTTATAAATCTGAGTTATACTTCAGTTGTTAATCATAAATTTAAAAAATTGGGGAATTTTGACATGCTTGCTTAAATATTTTTATCTAATAAAGTATTAAAAATATGGAATTAAACCAAGGTGCCCTCCAGCCTTCCTGCTTTCGGTGCTTGATTTAGTTGTGCAAATGGATGAAAAGCCTTTCCTTAAGATCATTTAGAATAATCCTTGTATTTATTATGTGGGAAAGCAATAACAAATATGTATAAGTCTGGGGGAAGGGCCTACATTTTGCAGTTCACAACAACTTGTTATAAAACCGTATTATCTGACATATCACATCGACTGTACATGTATTGCGCTTAACTAACCAAGGGTCTTGCAAAATCAAATGAAGCTTCAGAAATGTAAATGACTTTTTTGTGTACGTTTCTGATTCACTAACAGATACATTTGTTAAGACCGGTGATTTGTGAACTTGTTTTTCACACTTTCCAAATTTGTTCTGTAGAGCACTAGGTTTCAATACCTTATTTTTCAGGCAACCATTGCAGAAGTTACATGTCGTGTCTTCGTTTAGAACAGTCCTTAGAGAACAAAGAATATGAAACAAATAAGTAATAATTCAACCTGTTTATATCGTTTGTTAACTGCTTTTTAACCCTAGGATCGCACCCGGAAGTTAGTTGAAGAGTTCTAGCGCATCAGGATACATGACGTGGCTAGGAAATTAAACCACATTTCTGCAGCTCTCAAAGGAAAGGCGCGTGTCCTGTTCTCTGCCCTGTGATAGACTTGTTTTTTGGGTATAGTCACTGCGATCCTGATATTATTCCGGAAGCGCAGGACACTAGGTGTGACTTCACTCTTGATGGGACGCCAGTTGCTTGGGACTGCGCACACACCTGGACAATCTAAAAACACCCAAGCCAGCAAGCAAGCCATGTAATAAAAATGCTGTATATATACTGTACGAGAGCAACGACCATCAAAACTGAATAAATCTGGATGTTTTCAGAACGACCCGAATATATCTAAATTTTCGATTTATAATCTAATGTTTTTAGAAGAAATTTTCAATGTTTGTTTTTTGGTTATATTTTTAGAAAACAAGTTTTTAGTCTTTCAGAAAATGTTGTTTTACGAAGTATTCAAATTTATCTGAAATGTATTATGTTTTGCCTCTCAACGCGCGTTTATGGTTTTACTGAAGATCAGAGCATTCGATTAGTAGTAATATCTGTAGCGGTGCTTTATATTTAATTAACAAAAAAACTTCATTTTAAACATCACCTGACTAATCTAAACGTACCAGATAATAAAATAAAACAATTTTTCCTTAGGGGACAATAAAGCTTGAATTGAATTGAATAAGTAACCAAGAAAAGTCTAAAAGTTAATTAAATGCAGGATTTTCTAATTTTGTTAGTTACTTTTATAGAAGAACAAGACGGTCGATTCTTGAGAAGTTATTCTACCTTTATTTCTTTTTTTTGTGTCTAAAATAGCAGTTGTTGCGACAAATATCTCCGTAAAATTATAAATACTAAAGGCTTCTTTGTTCCCATGTCCGAATTATTTATTGCAGATAGTACTACGCTAGTCTTAGTCTTTAATGTATAAATGAATTATTTTCAGAATGGCCACACTTTTCATTTGGCACGAGGAGGATAGTTATAATTAGCTTGTATCTGATTTGATACTTTTAAGTTTGTTTTGTTTTTTAAATAGCTTTTGGGTTGTAGGACTTTTCAAAATAGAAGGGTAAACACAGCGTTATTGAAGTACCAAAAGCACAAACCTCTGTTCCTTTCCGGTGCTAAACGAAGACAAGAGAATCAGAACCCTGCTAGTGCGTTGTAACTCTTGGGAGTTTGTATTAAGCAGACGTTACCTACAGTAAATAGCTGTTATAACACCTTTGCTTCTAAGATCGTAAAATATATTTTCACAATATTCAGGTTAAATCAATGATATACTGGATATACTGTAGATAATTTCTTATGGGGTTTTGCAGCTACAAATATTAAGTATTTCAGAGGTTACTATATGAATATCAGTGACAATAAATATTTTAATAAGGAGTTTTTTGGTTAGTAATATGATGCTATTGACACATAAGGATAAAGGATACCATTCAAAGTTTTAAATGTTAATGCATCATTAAGTGAAACTAAAAACATAAAGGAGAACTAACCCTAGCCCTAACCCTTTACATCGGAAGAGGGCTCCACAGCCGAAACATTGTGTTTTCTTTCTTCTCTTTTCAGCATGGAATACACCTTTTACTTGTTCCTCCAAATAAAGGAGAAAATATACATTGCTTTGTAAATGACCTATATTGTGCTTGTTATGCATTTCTAAGTCATTTCGTCTTGCGGGACTGCAATCTGCAATTCGCAATCTTTCCTTCTGCCTTCTGTAATCAGGATTTGATCGCTTTACATAGCTTGCTCTGTGCAGAGCAAGTAAGACATTTTAATTAACTTCAAAAACGAGTTTGCACAACAACAGCACCACCAACAAGAAGAAAAATAATTTGATCGAAAATTGAGACAAAATGTAGGATTAAATATAATAACATTTTAGTAGTAAATAAGCTCCTGTAAGAGGGATTCTGTATATTGCTTATTAAGGCAAATTCTTTATGCGTTCAATTTCCAAGATAAGCGGTAAGTGGAGATAGCAGACATAATGGATGTCAAAGTTGACAATTTGCGCACAAAATATAAATGCCTACAGCTCACAAATAATACTGCACTAAATGAACTGTAAGATCTCCTTATAACAAAATAAAAGCAGAGGAGTAAAAGAGTACTACTGAAATACCAGATGCTATGAAAATGTACATTAAGATCTTTAGTTTATTATTCTAAGAAAAACAAAATCAAATGAAAATTGGAGTATTTACAACAGGAAAAGGCAGGGTATTTCCAGAAATTATGCAAGATCTGGGGGGCGAAATCTTAAAGATTGCGGCTCCATCCCGATTGACAGCTGAAGCCCAGAATCCTGCACTGAGGGCACAGGGACATTTCCGCAAAACAGTGATCCACCTGCGATAAGCACCTCCTCCACCCATCCAGGAATCGTGCGTGAGCTAAGAAATAATGTCCTGAAATTCGGTTCCTAATATTGCACTACCCTGTTACCATTTTTCAAATATTACCATTTAAACGAACACATTTTCTACAATGTTTGCGTTTTATTTTGTTTAAATACAAGTGAATGATTTTTAAGAAAATTTTGATTTCTTTGTGATACTTAGGCCTATTTTCCTAAGAACTAGTCCAATTGATCTCAAACTTGCACTGAGCTAGGCCGGTACAACTAAACTTTATGGTTTAAAACCGAATACAGCGGTACAATATAGACCGTAACTAATGTATACAGTAATGATTGTGTTTTAGCTATTGCTTTATTTGCTTTATTTTGTACTCCCTCATTTATCTTTCTATTGTCCCCATACTTAATGGCAACTTACAGTAGTTTTGCATCTCCGTGTAACAAGGTGGTCTATTCTACTCTTACTCTTTAATTTATCTTTCCCGCATCATAGGACGTAACCTTTTTTACTGCGATTTTCCTTTGTTCAGCTATATTCAGCATTTCCCTATATGCCACCTGTGCATACCTTCATTTTCAGAAATGCAAACGTTAAAATATATAAGAACTATATTTACTACTAGAATGTTTGTATAGTTTAGAATTAAGCATTACATTTCTAAATTGCCTTAAATGTTACCAAACGTTAAAAAGATAAAAGTTGTGACTTAGACAACTTAGTTATTTTTGTAAAAAAAATGTGCAATATGTTTCTAATAATAAGATACTGATAATCTCTACAGATACAACGTCTAAGAATCCTGAAAATGAAAGGAAATCTCGACACTCTAAAAACAGATAAATGACGTAGCTGACCAGCGAGTTCAACTGAGATCTTGTTTTGATTTAATTGATAATTAACAAATAGGGGAATAACTAAACTAATAAATACAAATATATGTTAATGTATGTCTCATTTTTGTACCCCACATAACTAAATGGATAACTGTAGACAGAAGTCGACAAAAAAGGAGTTCAGGTCATTTTAACATGTATACATGGTCATCATAGTCTTTTCAGTCATGGTACTGAAACAAGTCATTCCAAATTCCAACAGACACTGGGGTGAACATTAATTTTCTTCTAAAAAGCTTTAGCATGGAAAAAAACAAAAAACTAACGAACAAAAAACATTTAAAATGGTGTATTGCGCCCTATTTATTTGAATAGGCCTACTTGGCTAATGATCAGATTAAGTGGAAGTATCGGTGTATGTAGGTTATAGCAGAAAACATTGTCGCGGATTTATGGTCAGGAAAACTGCACAATTCGTCAAACGTATGTTTTTCATTGTTGTTTTGGTATTCTTAAGATAAAAGTGAAATGAAAAAAAAATACACAGTACGATTTACCGAAATTAAGATAAATTCAACCAATGTTTTGGTCATTTTTATTGATTAAACTCAGTTTTCTTAAAGACTAAGTGGGGAAAAAGTAATGATTCAAATTCACAACAAGAGCAGGGGTACAATAGATGTAAATTCATTTAAAACATTGAAATTCTAGTTGTTTTTTTTAACACAGTATCGGTCTAAAACCATGTCTGCAGAAGACGCAGGGCTTTACTCCATGTTTATCCTAGATATTGCGATGTAACATCAAATGGAGTCATCTTATACTTTTTTCAGCGACGTGGGTGTTGTTGTTGTTTTTTTTTAACAGAACAAACGCGCCTCGCCATTCTAAATACTAATCGGCGTGTTTATGAATGTGTCAGGATTAATAACATGTCCAGTTTTCCGCACGCTGGCTCCTCATTGGAGACCCCCCGGTGCCGTTGCTATGCCAGTGCGCGTCTCCGCCGTCTGTCAGCCCTGTGTTGCTGTGTCTCCGCAGATCTCGCGAGAACGGCGGCGCGGCTGGCTGGAGGTGGCTGCAGCAGCAGGCAGAGGGAGAGAAGGCAGGCAGGCAGGCAGGCAGCATCATGGCGGACAGAGACAGTGGAAGCGAGCAGGGAGGAGCAGCCACGGGCCCGGGCGCCGGCTCCCTACACCCAGTGGCGGGAGGGGCGGGCTCGGCTTCCGGGCTGCAGCATGAGACGCAGGAGCTCGCCTCTAAGCGGGTCGACATCCAGAACAAGCGATTTTACCTGGACGTGAAGCAGAATGCGAAGGGCCGCTTCCTGAAGATAGCCGAGGTCGGGGCCGGGGGAAACAAGAGCCGCCTGACGCTCTCCATGTCCGTGGCCGTGGAATTCCGCGACTACCTGGGGGACTTCATCGAGCACTATGCCCAGCTGGGGCCGAGCAACCCGGACATAGCGCAGGATGAGCCCCGGCGAGCGCTGAAGAGCGAGTTCCTGGTGCGGGAGAATCGGAAGTACTACATGGATCTGAAAGAGAACCAAAGGGGCCGGTTTCTGAGGATCCGTCAGACCGTGAACAGGGGGCCTGGCTTGGGCTCCACGCAGGGCCAGACGATCGCCCTCCCCGCACAGGGACTCATTGAGTTTCGCGACGCCCTGGCGAAGCTAATTGACGACTACGGGGTAGAAGACGAGCCTGCCGAGTTGCCCGAGGGCACCTCCTTGACTGTGGATAACAAGCGTTTTTTCTTCGATGTGGGCTCTAATAAATACGGGGTGTTCATGCGGGTTAGCGAGGTGAAGCCCACTTACCGCAACTCCATCACTGTCCCCTACAAAGTGTGGTCCAAATTCGGAAACACGTTCTGTAAATACGCCGAGGAAATGAAGAAGATCCAGGAGAAACAGAGGGAGAAAAGGGCATCCGAGCTTCAGCAACAGCAGGAGGAAATTCACGGGGATGATGGAGATGAAGATTGATAACTGTAGAGCAAGATTTACAACAGATTAACAAAAGAGAAAAAAAAAGATAATGAAAAAAAAACTTTACTGTAAAAATAAAAAAAAACTGTAACTGTTTAACTCCAAGGGAGCACCACCCACCAAACCTCCACAAACTGACAGTTATGACTTGTTGTCACCCATCGCTGGATGTTATCCACTTACCCACCATTTAAACAGTAAGCAGCTGCTAAAAACAAAGTAATAACATTATATATGAACTGTGTTTCCTACTTGATTAAAATTATAAAGAACTGAGTGTTTATTTCCCTAATTAACCAAGAACTTTTGTACACGTTCAAGCTATTAAAAAGTGTTTGAAATGTTCAAATGGAAATATTGCCGAGTTATATGAAAAAGTCCTTTTCATGTGAGCTAACATTTGACTTTAGCACAAAAGAGATATTTTAGAAGACAATTTTTTTTAGTTTTGTTTTTCTTTTTTAACCAAACTTTCAGACCTTATACAGAGGCTACCATAGTACGTTTGACACCCTATATACCTGTGATTAGAGACGTGTATATATATATGAGGGCTAGGCATGCTGTGTTGGAGCTTTGTTTAAATGTTATGCAGAAGTATGTAGAGTAAAAGGTACATAGGTTAATTCATGCAAGGTAATTAATAAGTGCTCTCTTTTATACAATATGCATTGCATCTGAACCTTAAGCATATTAAGCTGGTCAGTGGGTCTTCTGTGATCATAAAATGTAAAAAAATAGACATTTAAATGAATATTGCAAAGTTCTTCATGAAAAAAACATAAACAGAAGAGAAAGTATAAATTTGTCTCAGCTTGTCATGCTATGTGTATAAAATGTACCTGTAAGACCCTAAATGTTTTGATATTTGATTAGATAGTGCAGTAGCAACATGCAGCAGTTTCCTGGTGGGATGTGTACACTATAACTTATCATATCTGTTTTTGTTAGAAGGTTCTGTTTTTCTTTTCTATATAATCAACCCCTTCTGTCCTCCGTGTATGTCCATGAAAAACATGGATAGAACTGTTACATTGAAAGTTTGGACTTTGGAAAAATAACAATAAAAATGATTTTGTGAATCACATGTATTTAAATCTTAAAAAAAACAACAAAACATTTGAGCACCCACGTTTTTGTGGGGGTAGAACTATACCTTTATAATTTAAAAGCTTAAGTGGCACCTGTGAGAAAGCTGCTGCATGACAGGCTGACTGTACTGAGCATCCTCCGAACATTTAAACAACCTGGTGCCTTATATATTGTACATGTTTATATGCCGGTTTGGTGCTTTTGGAATGCTTTTTTTTTTGGGCTTCTGGTTCGCCACAGCACAACTGGTGGTCTTGACTGGATTTTCAAAACCCAAAGAGACAAGTTTTTGTTTTTTTTCTGTAAAGAAAAACAATTGTGTTCCTTTATTCATAAGCTTTCCAGGAAACCACCTTCATGTAAACATGGAATTTGTCACCTAGAAGATGCAAAAGCATGTTCTTCTGAGTTGAGGTTTTACAGGATGAGAGCAAGGTAGATGGGTTCTCAGTGGACTGGAGACAGAGAGAAACAGAAGCCTATAAAGCCCTTTGTGATGTATTCTGTATGTAGACCTATGGCTTGGGCAGTATGTGTATTTTGTAAGTTGCTAAAGACCTCAACTGGAGGATTAGTTAGCATGTCTATTTTTTTTAAAGAGTTACTCCACATTATTCATGTCATTTTGAACATTTTGCTCACAAAGGGTTTCAGTGAAACTTACTAATGCTACATTTCATTACTGTGTGCAATATTGTAAGTGCCAATGGTGGCAATATATGTATATCAATTAAATATATGATTAATATTTGAAAGCATGAGGCTGAATTCCACATTTTTTCTCTTCAAGATGTTAAGCATTTAAATTAACAAAGTCAGACTTACGGTGAGTTTCCTGTACTTCAGCAAACTTCTTCCAAGCAGACTCTGTTATTGAACAATCTTCTGCCTATACTTAAAGTTCAAGGCAGTGAGTAACCGACGTGAAAAACATCTTAAGAGCTGCAATTGTTGTTAATGTGTGTACCATACTCCTTTAAATGTGCTTAGCAAAGAGGTTCTTTTGGTATAATTTGTCAGATTTTTATCCCAACACTACAGTGTTTTGTATGACAGAAGTATCAGCTAGTGAGAGTACACCACACAATTAGTACCTTCTAAATCATGAAAACCTGGCTGGTTCTCATCCTCCTGGATGTCAATCATTTTGTTTGTGAAAATGTTTTGTGAATTTTGTTGGAAAAAGACAGTAAAGTAGATGGCACATAAGGTTTACAGCATGCAGTAATGTTTCCTGATATACTGTAAGTTTAAAAAATGTAATTTGAATGAGATCCTTAAAAAACTGTACTTTTTTACTTTCTTTTCTGTTTCATGTGATTCATGTGGTTTTTTCTTTAACTTGAAGAAAATGTTAGTAGCACAGTGCTTACTCTCTGGAGGAAACGTCTTTGTGACAAGTTCTTAATTGTCTGAAAAAGGATCTCAAAGGAATGTCTTGTACGAATTTTTTTTCCTCTTTAACTTATGTTGCCTCCCACGTCAGAAAAAGTTATATTCAATAACTCCTTAATGGGGAAAGTATGATTTATGTAAATTTTACAAATTTTAAAATAAAACAATGTTAATTTACCTATGTCCCAAAGGGAGAGAAGTTTCATCTTTAGTGTTGTTTTTTATTTATATTCTCATTTATGGTGGGAATGAATAAATAGGTATGTAATACTTGACAATGATTTAAGTTTAATAATTAAAAAATAATGATCACACAAGGCATGCTTTGGTTTGAACTTCTATCTTGTATTTGGTGTTGTGCGGTCCAGAGAAGTCCCTCATCATGCAGGCTTGCCTTATAGTTGTCCACCAGGAAATAGTGTGGGATACATTGGCTCTAGTGAATCAGCTTCGTGTTCATTAGCTGGACTCACAAGTGAATAATTATAAAGTTAAAGCCGCAATGTGTATGTATAATTTCTGTGTATGTATAATTTAATTAATAATCAGTGTTGATAGTTTTCATTATTCTTTTATAACTAATAAGCAAATGTAGTTTACTATTTTGTTTAGCTTCAGATCTGAAAGCCAACATCTGTGGAGTAGCTCTTTAGCATAAACTGTGAAGCATGTATTTATATATATTTAATTGCAACTTCTTAATATACAACAGATAGTTTCAAGTGATTCCTCTTGGCAAACTGCATATATCTTAAAACAAATTTCTTATACATTTCTTCTCTTACCAGTGAACTTAATTTTGATTTATGTAAAAGATTGAGTCATGTAAACATAATCTTGCTAAGGGAGTATCTTCATTACTTTCAGCTCTTAGAAGTTTATTTTGGGGTGTTGCTTTTTCTTCACGGAACAAGGCTTTTTGAAAATGTTTGGTTAATTGCTGGTTGGGCTTTCTAGGAAAGATGTTGTCCCTTTGTATAATGCTGTTATTATATATTAAGTTGTCTCATTGGATACTGCTGACTGTTAAATTTAGTTTAAAACCTGCAATTGCCCTATGATATTTGGGGTAAAGTTGGAACTACAGTAAAGGGCTTGCTATTTCTGGGTTTTCACCAGTACTTGTCTGAATTCTTTGAATTTGTATTCTATTAGGATATTTCCCTTGGACATTTGTCTGTAATCCGCTATTTGGTTTGCTTTACTGAATCATGTGAGAAGGCCTCACTATTATAGACCTAAACAAACACGTCTGAAAGGTTTTCCTTCTCACTGTCACAGTAAATAGATTATCTTACAGTATTGTTGCTTTTAACCCCAAAAATGTGTTCAGAAGTAACATTTTTTTTTGTCTGTTAATGTCTTGACTGTAAAATAAAATACTTGACCAGGTTTGTATTATAATTATACAGTGTTGTCTGAGTAAATGCTGGATATGCAGGTATGTCATATTAAGATAGGGAGTTGCTGACTAGTGCCATACAGTTGCTATTAGTACCCTGTTCCTTTATTAAGACAATCATATTAAAATCTGGTGTTAGTTCATGTTGTAAGACTTGCAACAAATAATACACTTCGTGCAACCCAGCCTGGTTATCGTTCTGGCTTTTTTAAAACTGGACATATTTTTTCTTGAAATATTGAACATAGATTCAGAATGTAGTTAATATGTGCAATTTGATTGTCACAAAGCCTGCACATTGGCTGGCATCTTTTGTAAGATTAGTTTGGATGGGAAACTGTTTCTTTTTTTGTGTGGAGAAACCTGGCTTGCCTCCACAAATCAGATGCAGTGTATGAATGGGGTATCAACAACTGCCAGTAAATCTGCAGTGTATGTTGTAAAACACTGCTTTGACCAGTGCAGAGCTACAGTATGTTGTCCTTGGCATATGACATATTTTCCTCAATAATGAGCTACACAGTAACAACCTGACATAAAAGGGGGAGCAAGCTTTGCATTTTGTATGGGGTTGAAGCACATATTCTACATTTATGCACAGATACAAATTCCTTTTTAATCAATGCATAATTCATAAGTTCAGATATTTAAAACATTTAACCAGTATTCTATGCAAAAGGAATTAAAAGATGGGCAATGACAATTTAGTAAATGTTCATTTCATTACTTTCTGCAATTCTAAGAGCGAATATTATGGTGATAAAGAAGTCCACCAGTTTTTCTCTGGGTGTCTGATTGTTGCTGAGGAGGAGGAATGCCACAGTGTGGGCTGTGCATGCAAATGCATTTCTAGTTACAGCTTCTCTGTGTAAATCTTTCTTTAAATTTCTTCTCGACATCTTTTCATTGTAAGTACCCATAGGGACCTCAGAAGTCGAAAGCAAATTATTAATCAATTAATAAAAGCTAATCTATTCTCCTTATTGATACATAAAAGCTGAACGCGGATGAACGATTTAATTTTAGGTTTCTTGCACGACATTGAATGATGATACTGTTATAGAGAAACAATATTTACTCCTGTTTTGAGTTCCTGAAACCCAAGGGTGTGGCATATCCCCTCATAATTAAGTTTGGTTTTCCTTTAAGCTATTTTAAAATCTCTCACGCTGGGTGATATAGTTACTTAATCCTGTTATCTCCTTCTGTAACTTTATTTATGCCCATAGATAACTTTGATTTACAGTACAATTTCAAATTCAGACATAAGTTGTAGACAATTTAGTAGGGGGTCTAGCCCTTAAACAAGTGCTTCTCAATCCGATTTTCGCCGCTCCTGTGATCGTGTCATTTAACGGTTGTTTATGTCTGTTCTCGGAAGTTTATTCAGTGGAAATTACTCATTGACATGAAAATTACTCTTCAATTTATTTTCATAATCTTGTAGTTTTCACAGAATGTAGGTCACTGCAGCATTTCAATTGTAAATATTTGTAGTGTATAACCGATTATACCGCTTCATGTTCTCATTTATTCGGAAATCCTATCATTGAATGAACATTTTGAATGTATTCATGACCACGATTAACTGGTTTTAGAGGTTTTTATGAAATTTGCTAGAATGTCTTACGTTTAAAGTGAAATAATTTACTAGACTTTCTTAATGCAACAAAGAAAACGCATTCCACACTTTTTTTCTAGGCTAAGAACTGACGGCTTGTGGATGTTCTAATGAATGCAATTTTGCTTTCGATATGTTTCTGTGTACCGATTGTTGTATGAGGGACATTTCTAATAACATAAAAAAGTCTTTTTAGGCTACCTAGTGATATATAACGCAGTGAATCTGCCTTCATTTAAAGTCCAATCATTGTAGGCAACTGAATAAGGACAACTGGATGAAGATGATTTTATTAATGTTATGATGAGTAGTCGTGAGCGAGGAATAAGTAAAGGTGATTCCACGTTTCACAGCTGCCAGAAAGGACACTTTCGTCTTTTTAGCCTTCTTCGGGTCCTTTTCATTTTCGGCGTAGAATTAACATTTACTTGCTCATCATCTTCATTATTATCATACTAATTATAACAATAAATATATTTAAGCAGTCACAGAATAAATTCGATACACAACACCACAACGTTAATGTACCAGAAATGTTTGAAAGAAAGTGAAAGAATGCTACATCTGAGGTTTGACAAATTAGTTTTTGGTGTTAACATCTGGTCCTAATGTATTCTGATGTTCATTTGATGCAGTAAGAGGAATTTATTTTACGTGTATGACTGTACTTGTTTTGAAGTTCAAACGCCAAATTTTTACCATGCTTAAATTTAAATACGATTGTATTGACTTTTGTGTTCCCGAAAGAACCATTTTGCGCTGAAAAACACTCATATATTAACATGCCTCTAATATCCGTTGGAATAGGCATGCATTAAAAAAAAAGTTGTTGAACAAATGGAAAAAAAAACAACATTACTGACTCTTCTTTTGATGGCGTTGAAGCATTTAAAATATATATTTGAAGTGTGACGAATTCATTGTTATTCTGACCGTATCTATAGACCGTAAGAAGCTGAATTTAATGTTTTTACAGTTTATGAGATGGTGTTGTTTCCCAATGACATTATTGTAAATCATCCAAGACCCGGGAGACTATAGTACGCGTACTGAAGCTCGGCGACTGTCTGCCCCTAGCCCCGGCCTGTATTTTTATAATAAGGGAATGCTCCTGTGCGATGGCTCACCCAATCCAACCTCAGTCAATTTCTGCCCGGAATAATGTCCCCTCAGACATTTTGTAATATCTTTGGAAGTTTATACAGTAGAAGCATGGTGTATGATTTAAATTAAAGCTAAGAATAATTCTGGTTAAATTTGATGCAGACTTTTGTCTTTAATTTTGTGTGTTTTGGGAGGGGAAGTAGTGTTTAGGACTGGAGAATAGTTATTTCAAAAACATCTGAGACTTATTCCTAAGTAACTTGATTGAGGTACTTGGATTGCTTAGATGTCCTGCAGTGTAAATTAATCTCCAGGTTGTCATTGTAAATAATCATTTATTAATTAAGATATTTGGTTAAATGAATAATTAAAAAGGAAAATTACAGAGCATTCTAATTTATGCCAGTAATTTATGCACAGTAGTTATTCTGCTTTTTCTAGTTTCTGACATATCAGTACACCTCATCAATTTGTTTAATAAACCCCTTCTTAGACTAATTCAAAGTAAAAATACTATTATTACTTTTTTCATAACCCTGAACCTCATCCCTTCCACTTTGGAACCATTTTGAAAATTGAGTGGGCAGCCTTCAAAGATTTTCGATCCTGTAAAAAATGTCCTATATTTCTCACATAGCAAAATATATCTTGAATTAAACCATTTTCACTTTTCTAAAGTGTATTTTCTCTGTCAGTGTCATTGCACGTTTAAAAGTGAGATATGTTCACTTTAAGCTTCTATAAAATATTTATTTAGTTGGGTTTATTTATTTACTTTATTTATTTAGCAACACACTTTCCTTAGTGCTGATGTGGTCTTCACATGGATACATTTCAAGAGCTCTGCAGGGTCAAATTAGCCACATGTTTGAAAAACACTTCAGATTCACAGTCCAATGTGCTCTTCCTTTCATTGGTTGCTGTCTTTGGCAAAGCAAGGGTAACAGTAAGAAAAATAAAATGAGTTATATAGTTCTTAAAATCATAAAATATAAGCTGTATGTGATTTTGCGTAGTTCAGAAAACAATTAATGGGATGTAACGCAAGACTTTGCAATGTATGCAGTAAAATGTAATATCCAAGGTGTGTTGTGCTCTAGATGTCTTTAGAGACATCTGACAAGGTAAGGGTATATAACATATCTGCAAGTGCGGAACAGCTGAAAAGTTAAGGAAAGGTCTCTGAAATACTACAGACATTGGTAATACTGATGTTGCCATTGACAGTGTGAACATTTTCTGTTTCATATTTCCAAATTAATTTGTCATTAATCGCCATAACATAGGCTTTAGAATAAATGTGCATAAAGAATGCCAAAGTAAAAATAACTCCATATGAGTTCTAAATAATATTAATGAGGCCCTCCGTTCTTATTATGCATCATCAGTATATTCACTGGATACTTATATTGTATATTACCGCTTTTTAAACACTATCTATTGTTTAGTAATTCAGACATCCACTCAGCACATTAACCTGATTTACTTAATCAGTATATACAGTAGAGCATTAATAATCTTAATTAGCTCCTTATAATAATATATCCAACAATCTTTTTTTTCAAAACATCTGAAAACTCTGATCATTTCAAATTGTAGGGGAATATCCTTAAGGTGTTAACATACTAGAATAACATACCTACTCTAGTATTAACTAATAACTAATTATTAACTAAGTATTAACTAATTTCTTAACTAATTTGTTTATTACATGTACTGTCTAGGGTTCTGGACTTGTAGCTGGAAGGTTGTGGGTTAAAATCCCAAGTGAAACACTACTGTTGTATACTTTAGTCAGTGAGATGCTTCACTCAAGCTGAAAAAAAAACGGTAAAACGCCCAACTTTATAAATGGGTGCAATTATTAACTTGCTTCTGGTAAAGGCACTAGTCAAATTAATATGTGCTCTTTCAAAGCTGCATCAAGACATGGGTTCACATTTCTTTTCACCTTTCATGTAATCTATTCTCCGATATTATTGTCAGCTGTCAAAATGTATTTTTAAAATATCCTTAAGATTTATGGCGATTGGCTGCAAATGCATTAGGGCTAAATACAGATTGGATAATGCTTTGTTCACTGAATCATTCTTGTGTACAATCGCCTAGTAACTAGAGACAAGGTATTGTGGGAGAGGTAGTTTTTAAGCGCAAATGTGGAGGAAGTCGAGAAGAAAGGCACTACTGTATCAGACAATTCCTCAGATCGAGAACATTCATTGAACATCTTTACCGTTTGCACTAAGGAGAATCTTGATGTCGTGT